GGGGGGGGGGGGAGGAGAAGACAGAGAAGATGCGATGAAGCGCGATGAAGCCCGTGCGCGCGCGAAGAGAGGAAAGGAAGAAAGCTAACTGAAAATAACTTAATGAAAATCCCACCCTCCTCTCAACGCGGACCAAACGACGAGCCGTCGGAGCTCGCCGTATGGCGCGTCCATCGAAAGATACACGTCAAACGCAGATCGCTCGCGCTCGTGTTTGCTTCGTAAACTGATAACACACCCGACCGATCGGCTGTTGCGACGCGGCGATCAACGAGTTCGCCTTGTTGCAACCGCCGATCAACACGTTGATCTCGGACGTATCGCCGGATAGGTGGATTCGCAGGGCCGAGTCGCAGTACGCGCGCGAGCATTCACGACCCTCCACCGCTCTCTCTCTCTCTCTCTCTCTCTCTCTCTCTCTCTCTCTATCAATAATATAATCGTATATTCATATAATATATAGATTTATATTATATAATTATATCTCGCGCTCGATCGATCGGAATTAATCGGACGACAGGGCGATCAAGCCCGCACGAGCCGCCTCTCTCTTTCTTTCCCTTCGCCTTCTTTTTCTCTTTTTCCTTCCCTGTCAATTTGTTTTTTCCTCTCTCACGCGTTCGCTACTACACCGGGACACGCGCGCACACGCACAGTACAGATATACGCACACTTACACGCTAACAGTACGGACGCACGCATTCACAAAAATAAATCTCTAACCGCAGCACGCGTGCGCGTCTCCTCGTCTTCATTATCTCTCGGTCGCTCGGCGAAGCCTTCACGCTGAAGCTGAGAGGACCAGTCGCTCTAATCGGCAAGGTTGTATGTATGTATGTATGTATGTGTGTGTGTGTGTGTGTATGTTTCGCTTTCCATTAGCGAGATTGGAAAGAAGCCGGACCCCGTTCATGCTATCCAAGAGAGTACGAGAGATTATCTTCATCTTACTACGCCACCGTAACGACAAAGGTCACTAAGAACGATCCAATGACGACGTTGTGAATAATAACAGTAATGTTAAGGGAAAAACTCTCTCTCTCTCTCTCTCTCTCTCTCTCTCTCTCTCTCTCTCTCTCTCTCTCTCTCTCCGGCTGAGTTTGATCGGACAGCTATTGCGACTTCCGCGTCGCAGTCGAAACATCGCGACGAGGCAAAGGGCCAGCGATCGCCCTCCTTTCTGCGACGGGACCGAGCACCGTTTACGCAGCACCTTCGACGAGAGCGAGCGCGACGCACCATCATCCATGGGCGACGACCGTGTCGCGTCTCACACGCCGCTTCTCTCCCCCTTTCCGCAGCTGGATCAAGCTCTGATCAAGATCGGTCTCTGAGCGCGTTTGGAGCTAACGAAGCGGCCGTACGCGCGAGACTTCGATTTCCAGCAGTGACCTTTAGCCCGCTCGCGGATCTCTAAAATCGCTAAAAGTTTCGTTGCTAGCGCGGTGAGACGGCCGCACGCGATTGTGTGTCTGTGTGTAAATATACGAGGGAAAATAATGCTGCCGTTGGATGCGAAATCATCGTTACTATCGCTTACTCGTTGCGGTAAAATTTCATTGGCGCAACCAAATGAACGAATTCGTAATTGGAATATAAGAAATATAATCCTTCTGCCGGGATCGAAAAATTCCGCCGGGTGAATTTGGTCATAGTTATGCAAAAGGATCCGTATGGAATAAGTCTCGAGAGAAATGAGGATGAAAATTTGACGCGTGATTTAAAAAAGTATTAATAGCACTGGAGTACTTCGCAACCGAGGGGGAAGTTCAAAACAAGTCAAACATGACCCATTTTCCATTTTGGTTCCCTCTTTAAGGTTATTCATTGACAAGCTCAGCCCTTGAAAAAATGAGTAAGAAAGACGCAACTAGTGAAAAACAGCGCCGGTAGAAAGTAAAAGCTGTTTTTAACTATCCTAACTTAACCCATAGTGTAGAGAAAAAAAAAAAAAACATGTAGACTACCCATTAGTAACAAAATCTCAAAAATTATAACTTCATGAATCGGATATCCTTCTCGCATAACTATATTTATCCTTAGGACGCGTTTATTCGCCGTCCGAACCAAACAGCGTCCTCCCACATTTACCAAATTCTTTCTACAACAAGAAAATGAGTAAACTCAAAAAAATAAACCAGCGAGCGGCAGTTGGTTCAACTCTTAAACAAATCGTTTTGCTGAAAATCCACAGAGTAACTGACAGACTTTGCCGCACCGGCGAATCATTTCTCCCCGTATTTGTGTGTGTGTGTGAAGAAAGCGTGTGAGAGAGAGTGTGTATGCGTATAGTCTCTTGCGAGAGTCTTTTCCGTTTCCGCGTAGGTTTTCAGTCCGTGATGATGGGCCACGCGTTGGCCGCGAGCGGCGAGAAGGCCCGGCACTCGAGGTCCGTGAGGGCCGGCTGAGACGCGTGTCTCAGTGCGTCCACGTAGAGATGGATGACGTCCGACCCGGAGGGTCGGAGACCGCGGGCGCGATGCGCAAAGACGACGGTGCCACGGCGCGCTACCAGAAGCGAGCGAGAACCTCCCGGAGGTTCGAGCGAGCGTCCGAGGCGCCGCAGTGCGAGGTCGCGTCGCCGCGACCTCGCTCGTATGTACAAGGTGTGCGCTGCGGCGCGCTCGAGCGCGCGCTTCTCCTCGCCCGGAGAAGGAGTAGGAGAGAGGAAGGGTGGGATAGAAGGGGAGGAGGAGTCACGGAAAGCGAAGACGGTGGAAACCCTCGAGCGTCGACGCTCGAAGCTGCCGGCCGTCGCGCGCACGCGCTGCCGGAGAGATCGCGGCTATCTACGAACACAGAGTATTTTAGAATTTCGCTGATCGCCGTCGTGACAATTCCAACCGCTCAGGACCGCCGGAGGAACTGGTCTCGGCAGCGCCGACGCAACCGGAGGTCACTCCCTCGCCCGCGTTCCGCGCGAATGCGCCTCCCCTCGCCGTCGTGCGTAGCGCGCCTGGCTTCAAACGCGACCGAAAAGGCGTAACAAGCTTCTCGCTAAACCGATCCGTCAACGAAACGGAGCGACTGGACTAGTCTTGTCGACTAGCTTGCGGTATGCGCAAGCGCCATGGGCCCAGTGACCCTGGACCTCTCGGTTACCGGCCCAATTGACAGCAACCCTCGCGTGTGCCTTCAACGCGCGCGCGTAGAGCGCGCGCGATCCCAGAACATCCGCGAGAAACCGCCAAGACGGTACCCTCGATCGCTAATATCACGTCAGGGGAGAACGATGCGATCCGGTGAGCGAGCTTAAAACTAGGATGCGTACGCTTCTTTGAAATATCTGCGGGTTCGCTGGGAGACGATGAAGCCTGGGGCCACGAACGCGGGGAGGGTGGATGTTATTCCGCTGTCGTCACTGATCAAGTCAGGAGGGATGTCGGTGACGTCATTCTATTTGTTTCTCGCTGAGAATGCGGTGTCTAACGTTAAAACACAAAATCGTTCGCTTACCTAATTTAAGGGTGCTTCGCAACCGCAGCGCAGTTAACGTTCTCTCTCTTTCTCTCGGTCTTTTTCGGGTATCCTGGGGAACCTTTGGATGAACAGCTAACTACTACTACTACTCGGTATGATCCAAGAGAGCGGGCGAATCAATCGTCCGTCGGGACGACTTGCAGCTACTGTGTGTTGTTACGGGTGGAGGGGAATCTGAAGGGTGCTGGGGTGACGTTTCTCGGCGGTTTCTCGAAACACGGACCGGTCGAGCTCGACGAGGCTCTAGGATCGCGTCGCTCCCGCACTGGATACTAATTGGGCCGGGCTCCGATTCGGGTATGCAGATGGCATAGCAGTACTTGTCTGTATCGGCCCAGGGCCTCACTGAGCTTGTGCACTAGGATCGCACTGCAACAGTCGCACGATAGACGGGTCGCTCTTCGCACCCTCTATAAACTCGTCGAGCGATAGCTTGCCGTCCTTGTTCTTATCCATCTGTCGGAATATCTTATCAGTTCGTTTCTCCGGCGTCGACTCGTCCTCCGGCATCTTCATCACCGAGCCCACCATCTTGTAGATCGCCTGAAATCAGGCGAAGTTTGTAACACAAGCAAAGGCTTGTCTCCCGTCCCGACTGCGGCTCCATTAGTTCGAGAAGCGTCGGGGTGGTGTCTACTCAAATCCGAAGAAAGGATCCCCGACCTTTCCAGACGATTTGTTCAAGATTCCAGGCAGGATGAGAATATTTTTAAATGTATCTTGCAAATTAATACATATATTTTTTGTGCAAAGTCCTTCATATTGTTTCATTCGTAAAAGTTCATAAATCGTGAGGTGAAATTAAGAAGCACCCGAGTTAAATTACTTCCACTCCAATGTTTCCGACACGTATGGATGTGTGAAATACATCTTGAAATGACCAAAATGATCTTTTATTGCTCCTATTTTGCAACACGATCATCAAGACAAAAGTTAAATGATAAGTATGAAAATAGGAATTTTCTTAGATACTGAAAAGACTTTACAATATATAAATCTTCACGTACAATATTTAACATTCAGTTATACAAATTAAAACCAAGCAAATCAGAAGTTATTGTTGAAAATAATAACTGGACAATTCTAGAGATACAACGCAACACGTCATGTTACTTATGCACTGGATCATTCCTTATTCCTTAGCCTTACACTCATTAGTTCCGCACTAGTTCAAATTCAGTTCAATTCAGTGCAGTCCCGGCGCGGACACAGAAAACAAACCCCGGGCGAAAAAAAGAAAAGAAGGTTCGGTTCGGCGGTTTCGCAGTAAATTCGAAAGCCGACTTCGACATTTTCCCGTGGAGATTTTCGACTCTAATTAAGCTCCTGAATGATACACGCTACGCGAAGTAACTCGAGAACATTCTGTACTTTCAAGAGAGCTCGAGGTAAACTCGTTATTATACCTCGGGCTACATCGGAATATATTTCAGCTCTCCTCACGAATATTCGTAAGTCAAGCTTTACGGCGTACCGTTACTATTTCCAGCATTTCCTGCCGCGAGATGTAGCCGTTGCCGTCCAGGTCGTACATGCTGAAGGCCCACTTCAACTTCTGCTCGAGCTTGCCGCGGGACGTTACGCTGAGGGCGCAGAGGAATTCCCGAAAATCGATCGTGCCGTCGCCGTTCGCGTCGAACGTCCTGAATACGTGCTCCGCAAACTGTGAGGGGGTGAGGGAGAAGCATCGTGATAAATTTAAAACAACGCGAATAATTCCGGCCGCGATATAGCACGCGATATGTAAATAATTTCATCGATCATGGCGGCGTCCGTGCCCTCGTGCTACATTTTTATCTTTTTACTCTTTCTTTTCCTCTCTTTCGCTCTTCCCCCCCTCCCCCCCCCACTTTCCCCTCGCTCACCTTCGATGCGTCGCCGTAGGGAAAGAAGTTCCCGTATATCTTTTTGAACTCCTCCACGCTGAGGTGACCGCTGGGACAGTCCTTTAAGAATCCTTTGTACCATTCCTGGATCTCCGCGTCTGCGAAAGGGAAAGCAATGTGTTAACAAACGGAAGAAACTCGTATCGTATCACGTAAACTCATATTAGATTGCTCGTGTCCGCTGATGTCATTTACGAATCAATTCGCGAGTTATCAATTCCCATCAACGACATCGAGCGCTCATCGTTATGCGGCGAACGTTCGTACGTATTATTGTGTGCGTGTGTGAATTAATCATGTATTCTTAAGGCTCCCCTAGTTCCTCGCTGCAATCGTCATGCATCAATGAAGATTATTGCGACGAGGAAAGACAGAAAAAAAATCTTCGATTATTAACTCCCCTCCCTGCCCCCTCCCCAGGCGATTATCCGTAGCGAACCACCGATGACTCGAGCCCTGAACGGCATGTCGGGGAATCGGGAACCATTAATTAGCTGTTTATACAACGAACAGGCCGTACCTGAGAACTCAGTATTTTGTTTGAGGTCCTCCAGCACTTCCGGCTTCAGCTTGCTGTTTTGCTTGCCCATGGCTGCCTCAAGTCCCTTCCAGAATCCCGACTTTCCCCCGACGAGTCCCGGAAGCCAATTAGCAGATAATTAAGCTCTAACTAGTCTACTATTCTAATAGTGCCGTTAAGCACAACACGCTTCGCGGCTGGTATTCTCCACCAGACACGCCTGAAAGAAGAAGAGACGTACGGTAACTTTTCAAAGGGCGGGGGCAGGGGGGGCTTTTGCGATCGATCTCTCCGGCCGCGAGAGGAAGCGGGACCACGACGAATAGGTGTCCCGATAGATCGTGCGTGTCGTTCATCCCGCTCGATCGCCCCGGGGAGTGATTATTTCACCTGGACCAGGCGGCGTGCGCGCCCTCGTCGGGGAGATCAATCGGCTGCGCCGATCGCACGGGGTAGACACGGCACAAAAACCACGCCACGATACATTTTCCCCCACCGTAGGGTGGATCGCAATGCGACCGAAATGTCGAAGGTCAGCGGGGGAAACGGTAAAAAAGATTCCGCGCGCGTGCCGCACCTGGGGTCCTTCGAGGAGCTTTATTATCGCGCAACCTTTACCTTTCCGGCACCGCTTAAATATCGTAGCCGCGATGAAAAACGGTTAACGCGCGCCCACTCTGCCTTGAGTTATTCGAGATGTCGTTACGTGGGGGAGAAGGGGGATGATGACCGTTCTACGTGAGAATTTCCGTGTCGCTCGATTCGCGCTGATCGTCATCCTCGATGTATGGTCGGCGTCATGTATGCTGCGTAGGAAAAAAATAGTATTAATTCGTGACTCATATTCTCATATATAAATAAAAATAGATAATCTTATAAGATAATAAGACTTGCTAATATGAAGGAATTCTATATAGTTTCATTGAAAATATCGCATTCTTGTTATTCAAGAATCAAGCGGTATTTTTTCAAACCGATACAATTCCTAGTTTGAAAATGCCGTTTTTCCTATCTAATATTTTCTCCTCTCAGTTCATGAATAACAAGAATATACTTTTAATGGAATTAATATATATATAATTTTTTCGTGTAAGCAAGTTTTATCTTCATTAAGATTATATATTCCTCCTTACGTATGAGAATATGGATCTTGAATTGATACTAACATATTTTTTCCCGTGTGCTCATATATATATAAAGTCAAAATTATCAGTCATATAGTGAAATTATAAATTCTAATATTATAAGAGCCGTTATAAGCCTGTAATTGTAATTCGAATTATTATACGATTTTCACACTTACGGTCTTACATGCAAGACTAAAGACGATAATTTCCCGTCTAGGAAACAATACAGCACACATGACGCCGACTGTGTGTGCGCGGAAAAAAAATACTGCGTTGTATCAATCGAATCGTCCAACAGCGCCGTAATTAGAGCCAATCTTCTTGATTCAACAGTGATATTATTGAAACAAATACACGAGTTGTTAAAACAATGTATCATATATTAGTTTCAATGATACTGCTACTGAATGGAGAGAATCTATTCTGATTCTATTGGCGCAACGGCATATTTTTCCGCATACGGATCGCGGGCGTCGTCGTATTTTACGCGTCTTTCCCCCGCACGGAAAACATGCCTGCAATACGCGGGAAACGAAGGAGACTGCACATTTGGATCTCGAGGATACGATTAGAAGAGTGTGAAGGGGGGTTTAATGACAGAGATAGGGAGGAGAACAGGCGAACGAGGAGGAGGAGGTACAAACACACGCATTTTCTCTCACATCATACGCATTCACACGTAACTGCAACAGAAAAAATATTTCCAAGATTAATAACAAGAAGAACAAAGGCGAAACAAACACGCAGGACGACGCGTTCCTGACGAACGACGTCGTGACTTAGCGCTAATAACGACGAACATTAAACTATGAGATTATAGACAAATAGTAATGATAATACACTTGGAGCGTAGTGTGCTTTATTATAATAATAATATTAGTAATGACGATAATGCGGGTTCCTACGGTTCCTCGCCGTGCGCGTAACCCACATACAAAATATGAGTTTATTTTGATTGCTTAAACGGAGAATTATTATTATTATTATTATTAATTATTATTATTAATTATACCACAGTAATATATATATATATATATATATATATATATAATGTAATACGTAATCACTATATCTTACTTAAGAATATGTATGTACGCACGCATGTATGTACGTACGTACGTACATGCGTGTGCGTGTGTGTGTGTGTGTGTGTGTGCGAGCGATATTTGCTCAAGGAGCGACGTGCATCGCGCGGGGCGATGCAATCTCGCGCTCGCTCGCCTGCTCGTAGTTACATACAAGATAACGGACGACAGCGAAGCGTCCTTTTATTCGCTTCGTCGTCCTGAACAGGTCTCGAGATCCTAACGACGGGCTCTCCGTCTACGTCTGCTCGAGGCATTCGGCGGCGAGTCGCATCTCGGCGAAACATCTGCAGGGAACGGCCCGCGCGCGCGCGCTTACTTCCCGGCGGCAGGATAACGCTCGCGATGTATTCTTCCACACGCTCCGCGTATTCCACGCGCGAGTAACGTTCGCGTAAAGCACAATAAAGCCCGCGGCTCGACGTTCGCTCTTGTAACGCTGTCAAGACGAGCGTTCAATGCGGGCTCGTCGACGCACATGAGAGCGAGGGGTCGCGATTATCGCCCGTTTCTACCTATGTGGGGGAAGGGGGGGGGGGAGGTTGAATTAACGCGACGATGAACAAATCAACGTGTTTTCGTAAAACCCGGGTAGAAATTAATCGTGGCATATTCCAAGTCTGTAATGGCCTTAGGTAGGAGGCCTCAAAAATACCATATCACCATATCAATTCAACCAAATTTTTTTGTCCGCATACGTTGATTAAACATTAACCCGAGTTGAAGTCCGAGGAGAATTTGAATTTGGGTTAAGGTTTGATCGACGTTAAGGGTGGGAACGGGCGTGAGGTCCGCGTGACTTTCATCGCGATCTGCGACCTGTCTGATTATCTGCGTCCTTATTCTGTAACTTTTAATGTATGCGTCACAGCTATAACGCATGCGTTACAAATCTTCGCGCACGCAAGATGTATCACAAAATAGCTGGGCGACGATACGCTAACGAAATTGTCGTTGCGAGTTGCAGAATGATAGGCAAACACGGCCGGTTTCCGTGAAAACCCGAGGAGAGAACCGAGCGGTGACGATTCATTTGAGAAACGTCGCGATGATTACCGTCAACATGCGATTTCCCTTTCCCCTTCTTTATTTCCTTCGAATTTTTCCTCCGTCCTTCGCGAGAGACGCTCGAGATTCACGCTTGTCTATCCTGTCGCGAGGGATTCGCGCTTCTCCGGGACGAGGTGTCGTCGTCGCTTCTGCTTCGTGAGACTTTCCCATCGATATGCGGGCTCTCTTTCACGAAACGGAGATTGTTTACCTCGCATCCCCGCGAGTTGGCGTAAATATATTCCGCAAACTCGCGGGCGTAAGTAAATTCGATAGACGCTGTCTCGTTCGTCGCGAGTGCTCTCTTCTCTCGCGACACGACGGCTGTGTTTCTCGTTGTTATTATTATTATTATTATCGTCATTGTTATTCACGAAGGAAAAACGTATCTCGGAATTGATAATTAACACCGGCGTAACTAGCTAGCGCGTGTCGAGCTTCTTGAAATACGAGATCACCGAGATCACCCGCTGACGTATTCGTCCAACTATCAACCCGTCCAAATTTTGCTAAACACTCTACGAGACGACGCGATCGATTTTCTACCTCGTCCCTTTTCTCTCGTGAAAACTACGTGTAATACGTCGCAACGTCGGGGCTCTCTTCGCAGCTCGAGTTCGCGTCACAATAATTGCGAAAAGCGCAAACTCAAAAAGACGAGATGCTTTGTTATCAATTATTAACCCTTTCGGAGGCGATCTTCGTTTGAATCGAAACGCCCCATGAACAAGCAAGCAGACTGTGAGAACAATCGCGGAAGAAGGAGGAAGTGCAAATATCTGGACACGTACTTAATTGTTTCATTCTTGACCTGGTCTTTAAATACGAATGTTTATCTTTAAACACAAAATATTTGTGTACATTTAATATGTGTATACATGTATATTCTGTGATGAAAGCTTGAATGTCGGTATTTAAAGAGCAGGATAATAAGAATGCGTTTAGAATGAAGCACGTGTTCAGACACCGGTACTTACACCTTAATTGAAGAAACTCGCGAATACTATACATACTGCATTCAAAGTAAATATCATACTTGTCTCAAGAGCAAGTTTATATATCCGCAAGTATATCACGTAAATGTGTTCATCACAAGCATCAGATTGATTCGAAATACGTTCGGAATCCTAATAAGTTTAATACTTTAATCAAGGATAATTAAATTAAAACAAAGTTCGCTTTGCTTTAGTAAACTGAATTTAACTCTTCTTCGATGAAGAAAAGTTCTGTTCTTGAAAAGAGAATAAATATTTCGTTCGCGAGTATGCGAGGTATAATGAGCTTTTCTAAACTTTCTGAGCATATCTGAGAGAGCTGTTATCAAGAAAATATTCTTTGCTGCAGATAATCGTTGCTTCAAGGAAGGAAAGTAAAAACGTATCCGAATAATATCGCTTTTCCTTAGCGAAAGAATGTTATTTTTCTCTCTATACGACGTTGTAATTTCGCGAGAGGGAATCATTGCGCGGCATTCGCGGGCAAAAACGCGACTCGGGCCCAAATCGGATCGCGTGCTCATTATTGGGGTTCATTTAAACGTAATTTAACCTTCGCCTCTTAATTAGTAATTCCGCCGAATATGCGCGAACGCGCCTGGCGCCGAAGTAAGCGGCGCATTAATTATACAATTGCGAGACATTCGCGGCCGCATCGGGGCAAACACGCTCCGATAATCTCGCGCTAATTGCGCGTTTACACGAATCGACAAATAGCTAGTCAACTTAACCGACCACTTAGCCACGCACGAGCGATCGTTGCGGGAAAGTGAGAATAAAAAAAAAAGGGAAGGAAAGGGGGGAAAATGGCTCGTCGTTAGAGCCCGAACGAGCCCCGAACGAGCATATTTCGGATCGTCCCCCGCTATGTAATAAACGGAGCGTGCACACAGCATCAGAACGCCGTTTTCAGGTGCCGACTGAAAGTTTTTAACGACGTGGATAATGACAAAAGTATCGCAG